GTTTGCAGGCATGCCTTCGTATCTTTTTTTTAAGAGCCAGGCAAAGCTGGACAATGTAAAGGCAATCCAGCAGCAAATTAGCCCACATGACTGCTTTACAGGCGACAGGAGGTATCCCACAAACCCCCCCCCCCCTTCCCTACCATACATCTCCGGGCTCTCCATGCAACCAGCAAGAGCCCGTCACTGAAGCCGCGGTTTTTAATGGCTGATCCGGGATCAGAACGCCCCAAAGCATCTCTATGGGTCTCAGAGACCGAAAGCACAAACCATTATTTTGTCACTTTTGGATTGGGATCCAGCTCTTGTTTTATCAGATGCTTTTTAAATTGGTTTGTTAAGGCTCGAGGTCTTTATTTTCAATGCATTCATACATGAAGGTGAAAAACCTTCTGTGTGCAGCATCCCCCCAAATACTTACCTGAGCCCCATCATGATCCAGCGATATGCATGAGAAGCTATACGGCTATCCGGGACTTTTCCTTTTTATTGGATGAGACAGCAGTGGGAGCCATTGTCAATCACAGCCAGTGAGCCAATGAGGAGAGAGAAGTGGCAGGGCCCGATCCACGGCTCTGTGTGTGAATGGACACGCATCATAAGGGACATTTATGTTTCTTGTGGTAGCAATAAAAGTGATCAAAAGAAATAAAATGTAAAAGAGAGTGTTAAAATAAAAATTGAAAAAAAAAAATTTACGTGCTCCCATCCCACCATGCTTGTGCACAAAGTCGAAAAACACATGCGTCGGTGCAAATGTCAGGTATCACTGCGAATGCCTGATCAACAGCAATAATTCCAGCACCAGACTTCCTGTGTGACACTAAACTGGTAACCTGTAAAGTCATTTAAAGCGTTGCTTATGGATAATATAATGTACATAGTTTGCTGCTGCTCCACATGCATGCACAATTTTAAAGTGTGACATGTTTGGTATCCATTTTCTCGGCATAAAACCATCTTTTATATTTTACTAAGCAATTTGGTATTATATTGTGCTTTTGTGCATTAAAATTCAATAAAGTGTATTTTTTTCAACTTGCATTTGAAAAATACTGCGCAAATACTGTGTGACATAAATTGCAACAACAACCATTTTATTATAATGTTTGGGGGTTCTAAGTAATTTTCTAGCAAAACACATTTTTACATGTAAATAAAGTATCAAAATAGTTCTAGTCCAAACTGTTCATCACGCCCAATCATTCAGATCAATGAACTTATGTTGTAATGTGCTACATTTTATCACTGCAGTCATGTGTCAATCCTTATTACATTCTAAAGTTGGGAGGTATGAATCGTGATGTCTAGCACACTTCCCCCAGCCAGCTATGTAGGTCCAAACAAAATCACCTAAGGTGACCATTCATGCTTAGGGATGTGCTGGCCAGCAAAGTACATATTGCTGTCCCTGGCATCTATGGCCATCTCAAAAACTAATTTGAAATGACATCTTAGCAGAAAAAAAAAAAAGAAGGAAGAGCACTTAACAGGAAGTGTAGTCTTTGCAAAGTGTTCACAGATACAGATCAGCTTGACGTTAATCATTTCTTTACTTTGTGTTAACGGATTATGGACCTTGTCACTAAGCATGGTTTTGTGATTACTTCCAGTAGGTACATGGGGACATGTGTGTTCATGACATGCTCATACTACACAATGCTTGCGCTTTACTGCTCCTTTTCACAATGCAAGTCCATTTAGTAAAGTGACTTTCACCATTTCTCTGGTAATAAATCAACTATTATCATTGAAAGTAGAATTGCAGGCATTTCCTAAGGCCCCTTTCACACAGGTGGAATTCCCTTTGGCACCTTATGTGCCTGAAATTGTCACCTGCAGTATACACTTAGGATATAAGGGGGGGGGGGGGCAACATAAAGTATAAACACAGAATATAGAGGGATCAGTATACACATTATACAGACCACAAATACAGGATCTCACCTACACTGAGATCCATAGACAGCTTTGATCACTGCTGGGAGGGTTACAGGACTACTCATTGCTCATCACACCAGTACACAGCCCGTGGTGTCACCTACGCACAGTACACAGCCCGTGGTGTCACCTACGCACAGTGCACAGCCCGCGGCGTCACCTACGCACAGTACACAGCCTGCGTCGTCACCTACGCACAGTACACAGCCCGTGGTGTCACCTACGCACTGTACACAGCCCCACAGTGTCACGTACACACAGTACACAGCGTCACCCTACGCACAGTACACAGCCCGTGGTGTCACCTACGCACTGTACACAGCCCCACAGTGTCACGTACACACAGTACACAGCGTCACCTACGCACAGTACACAGCCCGCGGCGTCACCTACGCACAGTACACAGCCCGCGGCGTCACCTACGCACAGTACACAGCCCGCGCGTCACCTACGCACAGTACACAGCCCGCGGCGTCACCTACGCACAGTACACAGCCCGCGGCGTCACCTACCCACAGTGCACAGCCCGCGGCGTCACCTACGCACAGTGCACAGCCCGCGGCGTCACCTACGCCTACCCACAGTGCACAGCCCGCGGCGTCACCTACGCACAGTGCACAGCCCGCGGCGTCACCTACGCACAGTGCAACAGCCCGCCGGCGTCACCTACGCACAGTGCACAGCCCGCGGCGTCACCTACGCACAGTGCACAGCCCGCGGCGTCACCTACGCACAGTGCACAGCCCGCGGCGTCACCTACGCACAGTGCACAGCCCGCGGCGTCACCTACGCAGTGCACAGCCCGTGGCGTCACCTACGCACTGTATACAGCCCACGGCGTCACCTACGCACAGTGCACAGCCCGCGGGCGTCACCTACGCACAGTGCACAGCCCGCGGCGTCACCTACGCACAGTGCACAGCCCGCGGCGTCACCTACGCACAGTGCACAGCCCGCGGCGTCACCTACGCACAGTGCACAGCCCGCGGCGTCACCTACGCACAGTACACAGCCCACATAGGGGGTTATTTACTAAAACTTCATGGTGTAAAATCTGGTGCAGCTCTGCATAGAGACCAATCAGCTTCCAGGTTTTATTGTCAAAGCTTAACTGAACAAGCTGAAGTTAGAAGCTGATTGGCTGTCATGCACAGCTGCACCAGATTTAGCAGATCTCCCCCACAATGTCACCCACACACTCTTGTCATTGTAGGGGACACACACACCAGTGTATCGGTCAGTAGAGGGCGATGTCGGTACACGCACCCTCGGTGACGGTCGGTCCCCCGTGTGTCGGTCAGTAGAAGGGTCCCGGTCCCCTGGAGGTGTCTCGGTCGGTATATTAGGCTTCCGGTCCCCCCGGCGATGATCGGACACACGGCTCCGTACAACCCACGTGGGTACCAAGCAGAGTAAAGCACTTCCTCCTCCGCCGAGTCCATTCCACACTGCTGGGGGGGTTCCCCTCGGCTCTCTGTACACCAAGCTGACATAGAAGGGTTGTGTTCTCCAGTCTATAGGAGTAGATCGTCCTCCAGGTCCAGTATAGGTGGTTCGGTTGCGAAGGGTGGCATTATCTCCTGTCTGTTGGTGTCATATAGGATTTGTCTCCCCCCGCCGGTGTCGGGATGGTGCAGTCCGGGCGGTGAGGGTGTCAGTGGCTGCTTCCTGGGCCGGGAGGGGAGTCGGGGCTCCGGCGGGGACATGGCGTCTGCTTTGCGCTCCAGGACTTTGAGCAAAGATGATGTGAACTATAAACTGCATTTCAGGATGATCAACGAGCAGCAAGTGGAGGACATCACCATCGACTTCTTCTACAAGCCGCACACCATCACCCTGCTCACCTTCACCACCATCAGCCTCATGTACTTCGCCTTCACCAGGTAAGAGATGCCGCCTGGAGCCCACCTCTGCGCTGCCTTTCACAGCTTCCCACTGCTGGGCTGCCACCTGCCTGCCTTCATTCATCCCTACTGTGGGCTGCCGCCTGCCTTCATTCATCCCTACTGTGGGCTGCCGCCTGCCTTCATTTATCCCTACTGTGGGCTGCCGCTGCCTTCATTTATCCCTACTGTGGGCTGCCGCCTGCCTTCATTTATCCCTACTGTGGGCTGCCGCCTGCCTTCATTCATCCCTACTGTGGGCTGCCGCCTGCCTTCATCCCTACCTGCCGCCTGCCTTCATCCCTACTGTGGGCTGCCGCCTGCCTGCCTTCATCCCTACTGTGGGCTGTTGCTTCCCTTCATTCATTCCTACTCTGAGCTGCCTGCCTGCCTTCCTTCATTCCTACTCTGGGCTGCCGCCTGCCTGCCTTTCCCTACTCTGGGTTGCCGCCTGCCTGCCTTCATCCCTACTCTGGGTTGCCGCCTGGGCTGCCGCCTGCCTTCATTCATCCATCCCTGCTGTGGGCTGCCGCCTGCCTTCATTCATCCATCCCTACTGTGGGCTGCCACCTGCCTTCATTCATTCCTACTCTGGGCTACCGCCTGCCTTCATTCATTCCTATTCTGGGCTGCCGCCTGCCTGCCTTCATTCCTACTCTGGGCTGCCGCCTGCCTGCCCTTCATTCTACTCTGGGCTGCCGCCTGCCTTCATCCCTACTCTGGGCTGCCGCCTGCCTTCATTTCCCTACTCTGGGCTGCCGCCTGCCTTCATCCCTACCTGGGCTGCCGCCTGCCTTCATCCCTACTCTGGGCTGCCGCCTGCCTTCATCCCTACTCTGGGGCCGCCTGCTTCTGCCTTCACCGCCTGCCTTCATCCCTACTCTGGGCTACCGCCTGCCTTCATCCCTACTCTGGGCTACCGCCTGCCTTCATCCCTTCATCATCCCTACTCTGGGCTGCCGCCTGCCTTCATCCCTACTCTGGGCAGCTGCCGCCTGCCTTCATCTCTACTCTGGGCAGCTGCCGCCTGCCTTCATCTCTACTCTGGGCAGCTGCCGCCTGCCTTCATCCCTACTCTGGGCAGCTGCCGCCTGCCTTCATCTCTACTCTGGGCAGCTGCCGCCTGCCTTCATCTCTACTCTGGGCAGCTGCCGCCTGCCTTCATCTCTACTCTGGGCAGCTGCCGCCTGCCTTCATCCCTACTCTGGGCAGCTGCCGCCTGCCTTCATCTCTACTCTGGGCAGCTGCCGCCTGCCTTCATCTCTACTCTGGGCAGCTGCCGCCTGCCCGGATCTCTAATCTGGGCAGCTGCCGCTGCCCGGATCTCTAATCTGGGCTGCTGCCGCTGGCTGCCTGCCCGGATCTCTAATCTTGGCTGCTGGGTGCCTGCCTAGATTTTCACTGTGAGCTGCTGCTGGCCTAGATTTGCACTGTGAGCTGCTGCTGTCTGCCTGGATCTGCACTCTGGGCTGCTGGTTCCTTGATCTGCACCCTGGGCTGCTCCTGCCTATGCGCTGAGGCTCAGTGCTGATGCTGCCAAGATGTTTGTGCACTCATATACCAAAATGTACTGAGTCACAATCCAGCAGCTAGTATACAGATAAGGACCCTCTGACAACATTTCACTATATTATGGCTTGGTAGTCACACAGTATGGGTGGACAGATGATTTGGCTTTAGTAGTAGACTTGTCCTCTGTGCACACACCAGCATCCACTACTATTGTCTACGCTGTGAGTAATAGGCAGACCTTGAGGGGTCATACAAGTCCTAGATTCTCAGTGCTGGGACCAGTAAGTCTGATGTATTACTACACTGACTGCAATAAACGCCACACTGATGACCTGCCATGTGATACAGAGCATTGCACTTAGCTGTCACTATTTTCTCTGCAGCATTAAATGATCTCATAGAATCTCTTATACATGATCATTTCAAAGTTCATTTATGTAGAAGAAAAATGTTTGTCGTGTTATGTATGAAGAAAGATCAATCCTGCAGGAGCAGACTAAGTCAATGTGTCATAAATATGTGTTATGTTAAAGGATAAGTTCACCTTTTGGACAAAAATAATAAATGCACATGTTTTTGTAGGTAAAAAATGTGCATTTTTATTATTTTTGTCCAAAGGAGCCTGGAAAGCATTGCACCAGCGATCAGTAGATCAGTGATGCCGTGCAGGTCTCCTGCAGACCTGTCAGAATATCTGCTTGCTGTACGGGATGTACGATCATCAGATATTCTGATGGGAAGCTTCAATGAACTACCACGGCGCTCCACAGCACTATGGTAGTTATTATTATTATACATGATTTATATAGCGCCAACAGTTTGCTCAGCGCTTTACAATATAATGGGAGACAGTACAATACAAGACAATAGTTCATTGAAAACTACAAGCCCACAGCTGCTAAAGCTGGGACTTGCCGTTTTTTCATTCATGGAAGTCTTTGAATGAATGATGCGACCATGTGGGTGGAGCCTAGCACGGCTACGCTGATTTTAAATCTGATAGTACGAGAAGACGCTTCCCGCACTGTCACATGGAGGTGGGGCGGCGGGCGCATCTGTGACTATGGGAACATGTTGCATATTCCACCCTAAAAACAAGTGGAACATGTACTGGGTGGATTTGATTTAAATCACTAGTGAAAAGGCTCGATTTTAAATCATAATTTTTAAAGCGCAACTGTCATCTCTGTCCCGCAGCGGCTCCTCCTCTGACCCGCTGTTGACTCACCGACAGTCCCATTCGCTTTAATGGGACGGCTGGTGATGCGGCAATGACACAACGAGGTGAGGGACATGGCAGCAGCAGGTGAGTGGATGCCCCCACACACGCGCTGCCATGATGGATCTAAAATGACAGGTACTCTTTAAATGTAAGGACTCCGACTCATTCTTGCTGATAGTTAGAATCTTTAATATTTGCGAACCAAATGAAGATTTCCTTTTTAGAATGTCAGGTTAGTAAAACACTGATATCAGAACCAATTTTAGGTTAATCACACATAGTTGGAGAACGACTCAAATTCTTTTATTTCATGTTTTTTCTCATGGTTACTGTGAAATTGTGTGAATGTGACAATGCAGTGCATGTTATCTCAGCTTGCAGAGCTTGGATTCATTGAATGAGTTTACCAAAAATGTGAATATTGCAGAATATACAGCCTCATGCTACATAACTGAGCTCCATTTCATGCTGAATAAATATAATTATTAATGCATCTTAAATAGAAAACTATCTTTACATAGATTTTTACTCCAAAAGCATTTTATTAAAATAAATTTGATAAATATAAAAAAAATCCGGTTTAAATAAATAATCCAATTTTTTTTTTTATCCACTCTGAACGTGTAACATGTTCTCAAAGGTGAACTTATCCTTTGGGCTACATTCACACTAGCTTTGTCAGCAGGCGTCAGACAGGCGTTTGGGAAGCGTTTTTTTAAGCTTCTCAAACGCCTCTGAAAATTCTGCACATGGCAGCGCACAGTGCTGTTCACACGGAAGCGTTAGTGTCGCGGCAAAACGGACGCCTCTGGTCGAGTCAGGAGGAGTTGAAGCCTCCCATTCAAGTTTATGGTGCCGCTCCGCAAATGCCTAACTAGCGTTTGCAGTGCGGTTGCAACGCTGTTGTAAGGCGTTTGCGGAGCGTTAATACCATTTAAACTTCATTATAGGCATTTGTGGTGCGGTTTTAACGCTTGGCAAATGCCTATCAACCGCCTCAAAACCGCACATAGGGCGTTTTGGGAGTGTGAAAAACGCTTCACAAACACCTCTCTAACGCCTGTCAAACACTATAGGGGTGTTTGGTAAGAGTAAGAAATAAAGTCAAGTGTGAACGAGCCCTAAATGTAAGTGAAACATGTAGATGAGGAGTGTGTCTGTCTGATGCAGCTGTGCATTCACTTTTGTGGAACATCAGACCATGTGCTCAGTGGAAGAGGAAGTAAGGTATTAGACCGTGATCCATTACTAACTAGGTAGGTATAGGCCATTTACATTCTTCATAAAGCTCAACGTTTGAGAGCTCGCTCCTGTGGCGGTGAACAGTAACAGCTGGGAGTGTCTTAGCAACGTCCTAGCAACTAGGCAGGGTAGGAGGATGCCATCTTCGGGAGTTTTCCAGTCAGGCTTCTGGAGGTATGTAAATGGCCTACACCTATAGCAAGGGTAATAACCTTGGTCATAGCTGCACAGTTTGTTTTTTTATCTGCAAATGCCCCTTACCTGCATAGGCATCTTTTATTTTTATTTTATTTTTTTATGATAGAGGTGAATTAGCCCTTTAAAATGGATCTTCAGTCCCCAAATATGACACAGCTCTTTGCATTCCCTCCCTCTTCCACTACAATAATATTTTGTTTTTTTACTTTTTTTGTCCGGCCACATTAAGTTGCCCTTTCCCCCCAAAGGTGAGAATGACAACCCCTGTTACATCTGGCTCCTAGGATACCACATCACATATCCCAGGAGGCTACAGGAGTAGGGACTCACAGCAGCCAGTGGGTGGACCTGTTGGGGATCATAAGAGGATGGCTGTCTGAACCCAGAAAAGGCAGCTGGCTTCCAATGGCTGGAGAAGGACCTAGATGGCGGCACAGGACCTGGGCTGCTGCACCTGAACTGCGATCACAGCAGGACAATGCGGTGACAGGTGAGTATCTGAATCGAGGGCAATGCTGCATGACAGGTAAGTGTGGATTTAAAAATAAAAACAGGAGGATGAAGGAAGTTCTTTTTAACTACTTGCCCTGCTGAGGATTTACACCCCCCCCCTTCCTGATCAGGCCATATTTTGCGTTACGGTGCTGCGTTACTGACAGTTACGTGGAAATTAATTGGTTTACGTGAAAGTTATAGTGTTTACAAAATACATAAAGGCAATTTTTTTATTTTTACTAGCAATGGCGGCGATCAGCGACTTGCAGCGGACATTCTGACACTGGGGGAAACTCACTTGGTGTCACTGACATTCCCAGTGACACCAATA